AAAAAAAAAAACAAAAGAAAAACTTCTCCAATGAAGTCAAAAGGAACCCTACCGTCTACGAAAAAATACTTGGCAATGACATATATGATAAGGCACTCATATATAAAATTTATAGAATATTTCCAGTACCTCAATAGGAAAAATGCAAACAACCCAGTCATAACATGGGCACAATATAGGAAAAGATGCTTCACCAAAGGTGAAAGTCAGCTAGCCAACAAACATATGAAGAAATGTTCAAAATCTCTAACTATCAGAGAGGTGTAAATTAAAACAACAATGAGATTTTATCTCACTCCAGCAACAATAGTAAAGTTGAACAGGGCAACAAATAACAAATGCTGGTGAGGATGTGGAGAGAGTGTAACTCTCATTCACTACTGATGAGGATATAAAATGGTACAACTATAGAAGGCAGTCAGACACTTTCTCAAAAGTTGGAACTAGAAATATCGGTTGAGCAAGCTATGCAGGGACCTCTGGTAGCTTAGTGGGAAGGACTTGTGCAGCTAATGTAGAAAGATGGGCATTCTCCTTGCACATGACTACATCTGAACCCCCTCCAAATCGTCAAATATGGGTCAGTACCAACTCACTGGTACTCAACTACTTCAACAATCCCATTACTGGGAATAACCCCAAAGAAACTAGAGCCATGATGAAGACAGATGTATCCACACCTGTGTTTTTTTTCAGCATTATTCAGTGAAGAGATAGAAGCAGCCTAAGTGCCTGTCAACAAAACAAATGGATAGGAAAAACTGCAGTATATCCCCAGCACTGAAAAATAGTAAACATGTAAAAGACTACACAACATAGGTGAATCTAGAAGGCATTTTTCTGAGTGATATATCTCAGTCACAAAAGGACAACTACTGCATAGAACTATTGTTATCAAAATAGGATGGACATCTGGAAGGGGAGAGCAGGGAAGGAATAGGCAATAAACACTACACTAGACTAGTAAAAGGGAGAGGCTCTAAGAAGAGAATGAATAATTAGATATTAACAATCTGGAACAAGACATGCACTACAGAGTGAATTGGGGTGGGGAAGGGAAGAGAAAGGGTATCAATGAATGAATGAATGAATGAATGAATGAATGAATGAATGAAAATTATCCTTTCTGCAAACTCTTACTAAAATAATAATTAAAAAACAAACAAACAAACATCAAGAGCGTCACCCAGGAAGAAAGCAGAAAAACTGAAATCCAAACCAAGCACCATCAAGTTAAGTCCAACTCATAATGATTTGTAGAGTTTCAAAGGCTGTAAATCTTATCAGTCAGAGATTGCCCATCTTTCTCCTAAGAAATGGTTGGTGTCTTCAAACTGCCAAACTTCACATTGGCAGTCTGAGGTGTTATGTAATAGACCACCAGAGCTCCTTTAGGAAAGGAAAAATCCACTAAAAGGGAAGAAAGGAAAAAATAACCCAAAATTAATATCAAACCAGAGTCTGAAATTTGGTCTTGAATGTAGAGTAGCTTTTGTGTTCTTCTTTCAATTTCTTTAAAAAGCTTTACTCTTCATGGTTTATCTTTTTATCATGTTAATTCCCTAATTCACTCCTAAATCCTTTCCCCAATGAACCATGAATAAACATCAGCAGAACCACACACTCTACTTCAAAGGTCACATCTGTTTTAATGGAAATAGACTGCCATGTCTCAGTCCCACACTTTCCACAGACAGTCTGGAGAATAGCATAACTACAATGTATTTCTATAAGACAAGCACTAGGCAAACATTTTTCACTGCTAAAATGATTTATTTTTTCCATATGTATTATCATAGTATCTGAGCAGATGGACTTTCCTACAATCTTTTTACTAGTCCATGAAACTGAAGTAAACAAGTTAAACCAAATAGTAGGAATGACTACTTGGAAAAGATTCAAAAATTCTACCCACATTGAAGCTGTCTGGCTTGAGGACCACCTGAGGACTCAATTTCTTTCTCTTTCTCCCTCAGATTTCCCTTCCCCAGCAAATACATCGGGGCGCTCAGTCACGGTCCCTCCTAACGCTCGTAACGCTGAACAGGAGAATGGAGAACCAGTACTTATGAAACGCCGGATACTTGGACACAAGATCATCATTGTCAATTTTGTGGTTAATGATATATATTTCTTTTCTGAAATGGAAAGGTAAATTTACCACTTCTTCATGGTTTTCTACCCAAAGTGTCTTCCAGCAAAGACTTTCTTTTCCAGGAGGCATGTGATTTCAGGTCAGCCAAACACAAATTCCCATAAGAAAATCTTGTGAATATTGTCACTCTTTCAATCTCTACCAATCCTTCATTTTGCTCCTAAAGACTCTTCAGTGTTTTAGAATTCCCAATTGTAAAATGCACTTACTTACTCCCAGGAAGTGGATCCCCTCCCTTTCTATTTGGACAGGTTGCTAGGAGTAGCTATTCTTTGGAGAATGACATGATACTGGGAAGGAAGGAGTGTCAGGCAGGAGAGGGAGACACTCTACCAGGTGGATTGACACGGTGACAGCTGCAATGGGCTTTTGTGTGTCAGTATGTGTGAGGATGCTGCAAGATAGAACAGGGTTCAGATTTTTTTTGTTCACAGGGTCCCTATGAGTCATACTCGGCTTGAAGGCACGTAACAACAGCATTTATAAACATGCCATTTATGCAGCACCATTGTATCAATAGTTTTCCCATTAAAGCTGAAAGGTAGAATAATAAAAATTGCATGTGGTGTGCATGTATGTACGCATATATAAGCATACAGATTCTATGTATGTATGCGTGTGTGAGCACATAGATTATAGAGAGCATACAGAGAGATTAAACAGAAATTTAAGATTAATCCATGTGAATTTATTCATTTGTCTAACTTTTGATGGAAAACTGAAGTCATTTTTCTAATTGTGAACATATTTTTATCTTATGGAGTGGGTGGTGGGTTGGAACTGCCAATATTTTGGTTAGAAGCTAATTACTTAACGACTGAGTCACAAGGCTTCTAAATTGAAATTTTCAAGGATTTCCTTTTATTTGGATCCATAATCAACACCCATGGAAACACATTTATGCTATGCAACACATCTTTTGACTTCTTGACTGCTATATCTGTGGGTGTTGATTATAAAGAGGGAACCAAAAGTTTTCTAAAAAAAAGACAAATACAAAATCAAACAGTAATAGAAGATATGAAAGGAGAGGTATATGACACAAAACAAGTAGCAAATGAGCAGATGGAACTCCTTCCTGAACAATAACTACATTAAATAGAAATAAACTAAGCTCTCCAGTCTAAAGGCATTAAAAAATTGCTGAATGATTAATGAAAATATGATTCAACAATATACTGTCTGCAAAGGATTCACTTTAAATTCTTGTGCATGACTAGATTAAATGTGAAAGAATGGAAAAAATATTAAGGTCACCCAAAAGAAAGGTGGTATGGCCATTCTCAAAGTAAACAAAACAGACGTTAAGTTAAAAACTATTACAAGAAATAAAGAAAGAGGTGATTTCTCAGTGCCACCATGGAAAAATTCCCAAGAATGGAATGGGTCTTTTTGGACCTGAGTTCTTGCACAAGGAAGATCTTTGACACCATGCAAAGCCAAGACATATGAAGATATTCCAGAAAATCCAGGCCTACAAATAAGGAAGAAAATAAGGACTTTCCTCCTGGAAAGAACACTCAAGCCTTTCCTTAGAGCTAGAACCTTGAATTTAGACTTCTAGCCTTCTAAACTGCTGTGCATCAGAGAACTGAACAATGACTAAGGGTGACAGAAGAAGAATCAATGTCTTTGAGTTGTGATGGTGGAGAAGAGACTTTAACATTCCATGGACCACCAAGAGAATAAACATGTCTGTCTTGTAAAGGGTGAAACCAAGTGTCCAAGGAGACACTTGGAGGCTAGGATTTTGAAACTCCATCTCACATGCTTTGGGCATGTGGCCAGGAGGGACTGGTCCTTGGAGAAGACATAATTCTGAGGAGGGTGGAGGGATACTCTGGATGAGATTGATCAACACACTAACGGGAATAATGAGGGTAAGTTTGACTTACAGTCAGTGAGACTGACTCAGGACAGGGTAGGCTTCAGAGCTGTTGTACTCTACGGTCTCTGTGAGTTGCAGGCACCTTAAAGGCACATAACAACAGCAACTAAAGTAAAAAATTATGCAATTGAGTTGTTATATCAGTTTCTGCAGTTCTAAATTATGTAACTACGCTGTGTTAATAAGTGATTATTAGAATGAAGAAAAAAAGAGAAAGATGGAAACCAAGAAAGAGGATTGTGGGTGAAAAGCAATATATTGATGTTTTAAAAGCTGGAGACTATATGATAGAATATTTTACTATTAGTGATTTATTCAACGCAAATAACCTTAATATAGAAATAGCTATACATGTGGATTTTGCAAGAGGGAATATATAGGAATAAAATCAATAATATGAATGATATTATTTATTGCACTTGAAATTAATAAGGTGAGACAAAATGGGCTTGCGTTCATGGTTAAAAAGACCATTTCTAGATCCATCTTGAAATATAATGTTGAGAATGAAAGAATAACATTCATATGCATATAAGGAAGACCTGTACTGTCAATTAGATGTATGCACCAACAAACAGAGCCAAAAAGTAGGAAATAGACGACTTCTACCAATTGTTATAATCAGAAATCGATCAAACAAGCAAGCAAGATACATTAGTAAAAATGAGTGACTGGAATGCAAAAGTTAGGAACAGAGAAGAAGGATCGGTAGTTGGGAAACACGGACTTGGTGACAGAAATGAAGCTGGAGACAGAATGATAGAATTCTATACATTCAATTATTTATTCATTACAAATACCTTTTATACATTAAGGTTGCATGGTGGAATGTACTTGGGGCAGTGGGAGGGGTGCAGGGGGATTGTGTACCAGGGAGGGAGTCTTTCTTTTACTTTTGAAAGAGAGGAGCGAACTGGGGGGCGGGTGGAGAGGGCAGGGTGGGTAGATAAGTGCAGCAATGAATGAATGGAAATCCAAATTCTCTGTAAATGTTCATTAAAATTATTAAAAAAAAAGAAGACAGAGATTCTCACCACTGGGCCAACTGGCAGCATCAGGATGGATGGTGAAGAGATTGAGATTGTTTACAGCTTCAGTTTGCTTGACTCCACAGTCAACACTCTTGGCACCAGCAGCCAGGAAATTAGGAGATGTATTGCCATGGGAAAGTCTGCTGTTAAGGGACCTCTCCAAAGTACTGAAGGGATTCTAACATATACAATAGAATATTTTGGGGGCCAGTTGTAAAAGCTACTTAGACTTTGAGACTTAGCAGCTGGACTTGAACTCTCAGGTGACATTTAGATAATTTGGCAATAGATAGTTCATTAAGTTAATACCCAACATCCTTATATTGTGAGTAGTGTCTACTGTCTTAAAATCTTGCAAGCATCCACTTAAGAAGCAACAACTGGTGTCTTTCCATATGGAAAAGAGGAAAAGAGAAGATAAATTAAAAAGAAAAAAAAACAAATACCTTTTATAAGAAGCAAAAAAGGTGACTATATGGATGGATCTCAACTGATGGCATACACAGGAATCAGATTGATTATATTTGTAAGAAACTAAAAATCAGCTGTGAAAACTAGGCCAGGTGCTGTCTGTGGAACAGACCATCAACTACTCTCATGCAAGTTCAAACTGAAGCTAAAGAAAAATCCAATCAAAAAAAAAGGAACCAAAACCTGACCTTGACTCTATCTCTCCTGAATTTAAAGACTAGCTCAGAAGCATTGAACACTGAGTAAAGACCAGATGAGCAGTAGAAAGATCTCAAGAATATCATCCGTGAAGAATGCAAAAAACTTGTTACAAAGATGGAAGAAGATGAAATGACCTAGGTGGATGTCAGAAGAGACTATGAACAAATTCATGCCTCGAGTTTCAGTACATAAGGATGCTGTGGGCGGAAAGTTAAATGACCCAGGAAGCATCAAAAGAAGATGAAAGGAGTTCATGGAGTCATTATACCAAAAATAATTGTCTAACACAGAAGAATTTCATGAAATGACGTATGATCAAAAGCCTATGGTGATGAAGAAGGAAGTGTAAGCTGCTCTGAAAGAATTGTCAAAAAACAAAGCCCCAGGAATTGGCAATATACCAACTGACGTATTTTAATAAACAGATGCTTCCCTGGACACACTCCCAGGTTGTGCCAAGAAATCTGAAGGACAACTACCTGATCAACTGACTTGAAGAGATCCATATTAATTACCATTCCAAAAAAAAAAAAGGTTATCTGACAGAGTGTGGAAACTATTGAACAATATCATTAATATCACAGGCAAGCAAGATCCTGCTAAAAAGCATCCAAAACCACCTGGAATGGTACAGCAGTAGAGAACTGCCAGATGTGCAGGCTGAGTTTAGAAGAGGCCATAGTAGTGGATACATCATAACCAATGTTAGATAGATCTTAGTTGAAAGAAAGCAGAGTATTAGAGGAATGTCTGTGTATCATTGACTGTGCTGTGGATCACAATAAACTGTAGCTGACTTTGAGAAAAATGGGAATCCCCAAACACTTGATTGTACTCATGCAAAACCTCTACGTGGACCAGGAAGCAGTCCTCAGAACAGAGCAGGGAAGCACTACATGTTTCAGGACCAGGAAAGGTATATGCCATGGATGCATCCTTTCTCTATACCTTTTCAATATGTATGTGGGGCAGATCATCCAGGAGTCTGGGCTCTATGAAGAGGAATGTGGCATCAGGATTGGAGGAACACTCAACAGTCTGCATTAATGCAGATAACACAAACTTGTTTGCCAAAACTGAGAAGGAACTGAGGCATTTTCTGCCGAAGGTCAAGGACTGCAGCCTTCTATATGGATTGAAACTCAGCATCAAGACACCAAAATTCTCACCGCTGGACCAATTGGCAGTAGCATGATAGATGGTGAAGAGACTGAGATTGTTAACAGCTTCAGCTTGCTTAGCTCCACAATCAACAGTCTTAGTATAGCAGTCAAAAAGAAGTCAAAAGACGAATTGCACTGGGAAAGTCTGCTGTCAAGGATCTTTCTAAAGTACCAAAGAGCAATGATGTCAATCTAGAAACTAAGGTGCACCTGATCCAGGCCGTGGGCTTTGGAATTACTTG